GCCTCTTAGGAGGTGTTTGGGCTTTCTGAGGACAGCACCTTTATGACCTGCATGGGCTTTATGCAGAGAGATCTTTTATGATGAGAGCTCTATCGTGAGGTGTGTGGGGTGTATGAGGATGGTGCTTTTATGACATTTATGATGTTTATGAGGACAGAGCCTTTATGATGTTTGCCCCTCTGAGGTGCACAGGCTTTATGAGGACAAAACCTTTATGAGGTTTATGGCATTTATGAGAACATCTCCTTTATGATGACAGCCCCATGAGGAGGTTTATGGGCCTTATGAGGACAGGGGCCTTATGAGGCCTGCACTGTTATGAGGTGTGTGAGGGTTATGAGGACAGTGCCTTTATGAGGCTCCACCATTGTGAGGGGGATGTGGTTTATGAGGAGAGAGACTTTATGAGGAGAGCCTCTTATGAGGTTTATGAGGAGAGCACCATTATGACATGGAAGGGTGTTATGAAGACAGAGCTTTCACGATGAGAGCTCTTTTATGAGGTGTTTGGGCTCTGTGAGGCCTGCACCATTGTGAGGCTTCAGCCACAGCTCCAACATGATCCGACACCAGCACATCCACACTGGGGCATGAACCTACTTGTCCCCACCAGGCCTGAAGGGTTTTATTCATGCAGTGTCAAAGATGCCCAAAAACGATATTCTCCCTGGGAAAAGGGCTTATTTTTGGGAAGCAGAAAAAATTGTCCCTCAGCAGTCTCTGATTTTTCGGGGACCCTTTAAGGCCATCAAGCCTGTTCTGACAGGAACCCCACTCCCTGACAGGGTGGCCCAGCCAGCTCCTGTTGGGAAATGGAAGGCTCAAAGTGAACATTATTGCACCATCTTTCAGGGAACAGAAGGAGCTCACAAAAATCTTCCCTGACAAGGTGAGGTGACTGTAAATAGCACAGCTGATTCTCCCCCTTCTGTGGTTCAAGGGGCACCCCCACACTCAGAGCAATTGCAGGATGGGGGGTTTCCTGATGCCTCAGCTGAGCAGGAAGGGGCAGTTTGGAAATATCGTGCTGTGGCTTTGCAGGGACATCCAGGAGACAAAACAGTCCCTGAAGGAGAAGGCAGGGCACAGGCAGGAGAATCAGGAGCAGTTTGGAGGGGATTTAACCAGGAAGATGAACCCTCTGACTCTGTCTATGTTTACAGGGATTCTTTTGCTGTGTTCAAAGGGGG